TCAGATAGGGAAAGGGAACAAGTGGATAGATTGTGTATAAATAGATGGTGCGTTTGCTCCACAGTACTACGACTGTTCAAATAAATCACACAATAGTCTTGGTCCTTTACATTGCTATACAATATCATTACTTAATGAACAGCACAGGAATATATTAGAATAAAGAGTTTGATGCAGGGGACACTATTTCAAGGAGACTAACTTATGTCTTTATGGTATTATTTGGTTCGCAATAATGATTATCTCTCTTTCTTGAGGAAGTGGAAAATATTCTGTGTCCTTCCAAAATTTTTGATTTTGAACCTTACATGGAATATATACACTTGCAATATGTATTCCAATCCACCACTTTTGCATTAATATTCCATAAATAAGTTCTCATCTACCTTATCTACTCCTATTAACATTTCACACAAACTGAATGTTACCTCCCAAACATCAACCAAAGAGGTCAATTATGTGAGTTTGTCTTTATTAATGCACTTTTTGAATTTGCTCAGTGCATCAATGTTGCTCTGAAGACTACAAATCAAATATTGCTTACTACTGACTTGCATCAGATTAGAACAACTTGTTTTGACAAATAATCTTCAGACATTCACTTATTGAAAAAGGGAGGTGGCGGCCTAGTGGTATTATCACCAGACTGTTAATCCAGAGATCCAGACAATGTTCTGGGGACCCAGGGTCGAATCCCACCATGGCAGATGGTGGAATTTGAACTCAATAAAAATCCGGAATTAAGAAACTAATGATGATCATGAATCCATTGTTAATTGTTAGGAAAATACCCATCTGGTTCCCTAAGAGATAGTAAGAACTGCAGATGCTGGAGTCAGAGATAACACAGTGTGGAGCTGGAGGAATACTGCAGGCCAGGCAGCATCAGAGAAGCAGGAAAGTCGTCGTTTTGGGTTGGGACCCTTCTTCAGAAATGGGAAGGGGTAAGGGATCTCAGAAATAAATTGAGAGAGGAGGGGTGTGGCTGGGGAAGGTAGGTGGGATGGTGATAGGTGAGTGTAGGTAGGGACTGGTGGGGATTGGTCAGTGAGGTGGGAGGAGCGGATAGGAGAGGAGGAGGAGGACAGGTCAAGGAGACGGGATGAGAGGAAGGGGTGGTCATGGGATGAGGCCGGGTGTGGGGAGGTTTTGAAACAGGTAAAATCCACATTAAGGCCATTGGGCTGTAGGCTCCTGAAGCGGAATACGAGGTGCTGCTCCTCCAGTTTGCGGGTGGCGTCCCTAATATCCTTTAGGGAAGGAAACTGCCATTCTTACCTGGTCTGGCCTACTCGTGACTCCAGACCCACAGCAATGTGGTTGACACTTAACTGCCCTCTGGGCAATAAATGCTGGCCTAGCCAGTGATGTCCTCATCCCGTGAATGAATTTAAAAAGAGATAAGTTCAAAAAGAGAATAATACATAAGTCTGAAAGAAGTTATAATATTCAAAAGGATGAAAACACATAGGCTCTAGTGCTGCACTGGGGAAAACAATTCTACTTTTCGATGCTATTTCTCATTATGTCAGAGAGGAAAACCTGGCAATGGTGAGAATTACGACATAACTGGTGTCACAACCTTGAGAACAATTGCCAAAAATCAAAGTTTCCATCTCTCTGTACATGATCAATAAAGAAACAGAAAAGTGTTCAGCACGTGTTAGCAAGAAAGGGTACATGCAAACATATGAAACAGGAGCAGAATTGGGCTATTTGATTTGATTTGATTTAGTTATTGTCATGCATATCTTGTTACAAAAATACAGTCAAAAGTATTGTACAGTGTCACTACTCTCCGGCGCCAACTTAAAACACAGAAAAATAAACCAAAACATAGAATATAAATGCAGTAAAATGAAGAAATGAAGAAAAAAATGTCCAACTTCACAGTCCTTCTCGTTAAGTACTCCATCATGGGCCACAGATCTGGTGGCCAGACATGAGTCCTCTTTGCCACGCCACTGCCATTGGAACAAAGTCGCCACTCTTCAGCTCCATCTCTTCTCCATCAACATCCTCACCTCTGAGTCCTTGCTGGACCTTGCCAATGGAGATGACACCAATGCTGTCCAGTACCGCCCAAACTCGATTCCACCACTGCCGTGGGTCTGCTTTGGGCCCGTCTTGTTAATGCAGCCACTTTTGATGCTGCCATATTGGGCCCAAAGCCACCTCTGTTGCCAACCCCTTGAATCTGCGCTGGACGCAGACACCTTGGGAACCCAAACACGCGTCTATTGCAGCTGCCTTGAGTCGGCGCTAGGAGCGTCTCAACACTGCAAAGCTGCCGGGAACCCAAACTCATCTCCAATGTCTCTGCCACAAGTTCATGCTGCTGGGCCTACTCAAGTCCACCACTGCCGCGACTGAGCTCTTCACCAAGAGAAAAATAAAAAGAGAAAGAAAAACAAGAAGACAGAAGAAAAAAATGAAATGAAAAGAAAAGCGGACAGAGCGGATAAGCCCTGGGCTCAGATTCCCTGCTCCACTGATATCTTACCAGAAGCTTTTTGGCCCATGGAACCTGCTCTCTTATTCAGAAGATCATGGCTGATCTGTTTATGTTCAAATTCCACATTCTCATCCACCCAGATAATCTTTGACATTGCTGCCTAATTTCCTGACTATCTACATTTGCCTGAAAACGAAATAAAAGGTGAGCAGGACAATTCAATGGATCTTTAAAGAGCTGTCACAGACTGAACTGTCCTCTTAGAATGTGCCAACCCTTTCGAATTTATTACAAGATGCAATTCTGAAGAAACATTCAGCTTTTCTTGTTAGCTCATGAAGGGGATCTGAAATTTCAGATTTTTTCTATAGTACTGAATAAAAAATTAATATTGATATCCTGAGCATCCAAAACAGCATGTGCTCCATAAATTGCTGCAACCTTATGTTGACAAACAACCCAGTGCATTATGAACGCTTGTCATTTGCTCTGCACAGTATGTTCCGCATGTTCAGTGGAAGGGGTGCATCACAGGATGCCATTGGCCCATGCTGCTGTGGTTGCCTAAAACTGGGCACTCTCAGTAAAATCATTGAGAGCTGAAGTCTGAATCACCAATGGAATGGAAGTTCTCTATGGAATTGAGAGAAGCGACAAAAGGATTAATGGTGTGAAGGATGTGATAACAGGACAGGAAACAAAAGATGTATCTATGGAAGGTATGAATGGTAGCGCATTCCTTGTCTTTTAATCTCTCCTGTTTCCCTGCCTATCACAGACCTTTTTCTCTTTTGTTCTTTTTCTAACTCTCTGCCCCTTTCACTTTCTTAAAATTTATCACATCTCTAATATTTTTCTATTTCTGATGAAAGGTCATCATGTTAAATCTATTTCTTTCCCCACAGATGCTGCCCAACCTATGGTTTATCCAGCATTTTTTTGCTATAAAGTATTGATGCTTTTCTGGCAAACTCTATATCTAAAAGTTAAATGTATAGTCTCCATTACTTATATCAAGCAGCACACAGGTCCTACCATGACTTTCCCAAAATATAGTGGGTACTAAACCAAATAGATAGGCAAATAAATCGCAGTAAGCTACTGTGCTTGTAATAGTTATTTTCATTTTAAAAGCATTCAAAATTTCATCACTAAGATCAGTTGGAGGCAGAAAAATGGCAGATGGAGTTTAATCTGGGCTTCACTTTCACTTCCATATCCCTCGATTCCCTTCCTATTCACGTATTCATCCAGGTACTTCTTGAATGTTGCTATCGTGTCTGCTTCCACCACCTCCTCCGGCAGCGCATTACAGGCACTCACCACCCTTTGGGTGAAAAACTTGCCTCTTGCATTTCTTCTGAAACACTGCACCAGCACCCCCAACCCCCTTGCACCTTGAACCTGCATCCCTTAGTAATTGACTCCTCCACTCTGGGAAAAAGCCTCATACTTTCCACTCTATCCATGCCTTTCACAATCTTATAGGCTTCTATCAGGTCACCCCTCAACCTCCTCTGTTCCACTGAAAACAAACCCAGTTTATCCAATCTTTCTTCATAGCTAAAATCCTCCATACCAGGCAAAATCCTGGTAAATCTTTTTTGTACCCTCTCCAAAGCATCCACATCCTTCTGCTAATGAGCTGGCCAGAACTGTATGCGATATTCCGAGTGTGGCCTAACCGAAGTTCTATAAAGCTGCGGCATAACTTATCTATCCTTAAACTCAATGGCCCTTCCAATGAAGGCAAGCATGCCATAGGTCTTTTTCACTATCTTATCTACCTGCGCTGCCACCTTCAGTGATCTGTGGACATGCACATCTATTTCCCTCTGCATATCAATACTCCCAAGAGTTCTACCATTCACTGTATAATTTCCACCTATACTTACAGAAAAATGTTAACGTATTGGAAGCAGTTCAGAGAAGGTTTACAAGACTAATATCTGGAATGTGCAGATTGCCTTGTGAGGAAAGGTAAATCTGCATCAGTTCTGAAGAATCATACCAAACTCAAAATTTTATCTCTGTTTCTCTCTCCACAGATGCTGCCAGACCTGCTGAGTTTCTCCAAAATTTTGCGTTTGCTTCAGATTTCCAGCATCTGCAGTATTTTGCTTTCATTACCTGACTACAGTTTGACCAGAATAATAGTTGAGACACGAGCTGCCCTTATGAGTTATCTACCTTTTAATACATTATTTTATGCTGAAAAATATCTTACCTACCCAGTACCTCACCTGAGGGGGCCACTCTAATGTTAGCAGGTGAGCACAATAGGCTAACTCACCATGAGATCTGGGATCTGCTCAGTCTGTGTAGCTCAGTACAACCATGCAGTATATTTACCACATGACTTTGGGGAACTTCATGAGTTCTAAAACCAATGATAACTCATTTGAAAGGAGCAACAAATGACACCGTAGACATCAGCAGATTTGTGTTTTGAACAGCTGTGCATTTTTCTCATTATGTGACTGTTTGATCCTAAAACTGAGAGGATCCTATACCCAGCTGCCATTGCTACTTATAAAATGCTCACCTTTGTAGTTCACTGATTTCATTGCTAATTGCATCCAGCTCTTTGATGCCAGTAAAATCTCCTGAGCCGACCGAACTTGTGCTATCCTATTGAGAAAGGAAATGTACATTATAAAGGAGGCTAACAGAAGGCATACCTGAAATATATATCTTTAAATTACAGCAAAGGTTAAAACTGCGAGTTCACCAGCTGAACAACTACTTTGAATTAAAAAAAACCACGGAAAATGTTGAAAATCCTCAGCCGGTCAGGCAGCATGTGCAGAGAAAAAGAGTCAATGGAAACGTCAACTGTTCTCTCTCTACACATCTTGCCCTATCTGCAAACCATCTGCAGTTTTTAATTTCAGATTTCCAACATCAGCAGTATTCTGCTTTCCATTGCTTTGAATATTCTAGTGACTGTGAAGGTTGAGAAATGAATACATCTGCTCGTTATAGATTATTGCAATTCCAGTTTGTAATACTAGAGACACCTAAGTGAGTAACTTCAACTCAAGAGCTCCTTCTGATGGTAAAAAGCAGGGATTGCAGTCACACAGTTCAAAAAGAGACACCTTCAATTATTTTGCATTTCTTCGAACTTGTCTTGCGAAATTCTCAAACCTATGAACTTAAAAATAACTGTGTTCCACTACTAGTTTCAAAATTCAAGACCAACTATACAATAAAAGGACAGTGCACCTACTTTAATTACAGATTAATCTGAAGATATTAGCATAGTTTTTCATTTCTCAGAATCTGGACAACACTGGTAAGGCTGCATTCCTTGCCCATCCTTAATTGTCCAGAGGGCAGTGAGACTCTTGAATCGCTGAATTCCTTACAATTATTAGGCAGGAATCCAATGATGATGAATGAATTGTTATACATATCCATGATATGATGGTATGCAACTTGGAAGTAATGGTGTTCCCACAACATTTTTGTTCTTGTCCTTATTACTGGCAAAGGTCACAGAGAGGAAGGACATAATCAAAGCAACTATGCTAAGCCAGGCAACTGTAGCTAACAAAGGAAATTATGAACTGTGTAAGTTGAAAAGGCGAATAAAATGGTCAGAAATAGTAGTCAACCTGAGAATTGGGAGTATTCTAGAATATAACAAAGGAAGACCAAGAAACTGACAAAGGGAGAGTAGAAAATGAATTTAAACTGGTTAAAAAAGTCTATTAAAGCTTCTATAGATATAGAAAAAGGAATGCGGATGCTGTAAATCAGGAACAAAAACAGAAGTTGTTGGAAAAGCTCAGCAGGTCTGGCAGCATCTGTGAAGCAAAAATCAGAGTTAACGTTTTGGGTCTGGTGACCCCTCCTCAGTTCTGCTTCAGTTCTGAGGTCCTGATCAACGATGACCAGTAAAAACTTGGCAGGAGATCCAGCATTGATGTGATATCAAGGAGGGTTGGGTGGAGAGGAGGAAACAATCTCAGAGACTGTGAAACAGTGATGTGGCAAGAATTGGGAAAAGTGTGCATACTGGGCATATCCAATTACCCAATGGAACAGACAGCTGAAGAGATGACCAAGTAGGTTGCCGTAACACATCTTCCACTACAAACAGTGTTTCCTTTCAATGAAGGTGGCTAATTGATACAATATTGACAGTGTGAAACCAACCAAAAGTTCGACTAAAAATTCTTGATCTGTACCATACTGCTCTGAAATGGCAATAGGTTTGCCATTGTTTGCACAAGCACTCCCAATCACAAGAAATTAAATAAATCAGACCATTCTCACTCAGATGTAATGAACCCCAATGACCAAACTCAACACAATGTCAAAGCTAGCAAAAAGATTGTAACTGGCAAGATTGACAGTGATGAACATCTGTGGAACTGTATCCAGATTTGAGTTCATGCTTCCAGAAAACAAGAGGCATCTTTTAAATGAAAAAAAAACAAAAAAACTCAATGGTTTGGCACAGTTGTACCTACACTTTCATCTGGACTGAAACCAGTGAGATACCATCAAAAGAGAACACTCCTGATTGCTTACTCTATTTAAAATTTCAAATTAGTGCAATGATTGCTAATGATTTTAAAAACTAGTTACTATTTTGCAAAGGAAACATCTAACAGAGAGGATTAATAAACGCAGGACAGATACCAGAAAAATATGGCTGCCATGAGCATCATTACCCGAAATCTTGCTCACTGTACATATTTTGATGCATTATGCAAGCGCACAAGTCTGATAAATCAATATCCCATTATCATTAAGAAATATTTTTAAGTCAGAGAACAGTCTGTCTTTCAGCTGCATCTCCCTCATGCTCACAATAGTGCAGGTTACTGCGGATGCAGCCCTGTTTAACCCTGGACTCTGTTTGGACTATTTACATTAAGCCACATTGGGGAATCAGTACTGTGTGTTTGTTATGGCAAAGGGTATTTTCTGATGACAATCAGCACTATTCCACTCCCCATTTTGCTGTCTTACCAGCTCCAATTTATCTTTCAATTATAATCTTTCAATTCCAACAGCAAAGTTTGTCTTGCATCAGTGAAACTAAGCCTTGGCAGCAGGGGATAGGGTCACCACATTCAAGGACGTCACACAGTTCGATACCAATTCCTCTATCGAGGGATGGTAATCCCCGGAACAACACTGAATCTCCAAACTACAGTCGGACATTAATGCCACTCTTACAAAGCAAATCCAATACCACTGCTTGCAGTTTGCCTCTGATTTACAAAGCACAACTCGTTGTGGCAAATTCAGCATTCTAGTGATGTTTAATTGTGAAACAGGAAGCTAACTGTAGTTTAAATGCAAATCTGTAAATAAAATTCCATTCAAGGGAAAAAAATGTAAATTCATGAATGAGAAAAAAGAATGCAGGAACTGAAGTAAGAGAATCAATAAAGCACAGAGGCTGCACAATAAGCCCTCAAAATTCCCACAATCTTCTATGTAAATTGTTATATTCATGATGCGCGAGCAGTTCAAAAAGTAATAAGGGATCTTAATACAGTAAAAATGAAGAAAAACAGGAAGGTTAGTAACCTGACATGGATTTTAAAATTATCTACACAAAAGACTAGAGAGAGACAAGCAGAAATTTCTTTTACTCATCAAGATTTTGAGATCTAAAATGCACTGGCTGAAAAAGAGGTTGAATAGCATTTTCAGAAATAAAGTTATAAATGTACCATAGAATGAAAACATTTGCACTGCCTGTCAAGACTATGGGTATGGGACTAAAGCAAATTTTCAGTGAGCCACCACAGGCATAGTTTTGTTGATTGTCTTCTATGCTGCTTGGTTTTATTAGAATCACACCCACTTTTACTTATCATATCACCAGTCAGTTTCAGAGGTTTCGTATCTGCTCTTTAAGCCAACAGCAGTGTTCAGCTCAGGAAGCCCCAGAAAAGGAAAGCTGGAAAAACATATTTGTCCCCATAAAATGAAATTGCTGAGGATTTTTATCTAACATTCATCACAAACCCTCTCTGATCTGTGGCATTGTCGGCCAAGATATAGCATTATATTTTTAATTCACCTCAAGGAATACCAATATTTTTGCATGCTGTTGTGAATTCAGGGCGGTAACAGGTTGGCCAAGCTGTCCTTTAGACTATTGTTGACATTGACTTTAATTTGAGCTCACATTCTGCTGAAAACCAGGATCCAGAGAACAACACACAACTGCAATACATCATTAGTAAACCTCTGAAAACAAACTCATTTTTTTAGTCTTTACTTTAAGGTGGGACAAAAGCAGCCACGTGCCCTGTACTGAATTTTACATGCTTTAGCATTTTGAAATGCTGGTTTGAATAGTACAGCCAAGCAGCATTAAGCATTAATACAAGCAAATTCAGGTATCCATGCAGAGGAATCTCAGTAAGCAAAACCAGTAAGCATCTCAAGCTTCCTCATTCTGCTGTAATTCTGATTATATGGCAATACGATTTGTTAATATTTCATATTCCAACAATACAGTAGAGTAGTAACATGGTAGAGTATTCACTAAACTAAAAACTAATGACTCTAATAAATGCAACTAATTAAATAACATGTAAACTGGAAACTACTAAGTTATTTTTTCCTGTATATGTTGAAAAGGTATTCTGACCACGCACACACACTTAGACACACACAAAATCTGTGGTTCCCTGTCTATACATCAAGGCATCTGGGCTTTATGGTGCAAATCACCAAACTGCAATGAAGTGATATATCTGGATACAAGATCTGACTCATTCGTGCTAGACCAACAGAAATAATCAGGTTTGCACTAAACCTCTGCATTACTTTGGGAAACTGACAACAAAAATGGACTCGGTAGTTAGGGTTGGTCAAAACTGTTCCTCACAATTTTGTTCCTCAAATTGCAAAGGTGCCCTCCAAATCACTGTAGAAGTTAGCATTTTACTCCAGAGTAGCTATGCAATATCTGAAATGGAAAGGCTTTGACTTGAAGCTTTATTCAACTCACCACACACAAAGCCTTTGCTTGTTAACATTCAAACAATAGGGTAAGTGGAGAAATAAAATGTTTATCACATATAAATGAAACGGGGAGGCAGTAAATTGTAAATACATCATGGGCACCTCATAGGTTCTAAGAACATTAATATAAAACAGCTGTGCTACCCTTTCTCACATTGCCAAACAAAGTACCTTGTCTAGGTACGCAAAGGAAATTTCACATAATAGGAACAAGAATGGATCATTGAGCCATCAGGATCTGCTTTACCATTCCATCAGATCATTGTTAACTTAAATCTATAGAACAGCACAGCTGATTGGGTCACATCTAGCTTTAATATATGTGCAACAAAGGGTTGTCCAAAGGAATAGAAAGTAATAATAGGAGTTGACAGTCACTATGAAGATGTTTTTACACAGCTTCAACCAGCAATACTGGAACAGCGTATTTCTCCACTAACATTCTTCAAAAAGCACAGGGATAGGAACACATAACAAGAAATCACAGATAGCAGAGGATCAACATTTACCTTGAAAATGTTGATTATAATGCAGTTTCTGCTGCACATGACACTGTGTATCCATTATACATGACAACAGTCATCCCTGCCTCTGAGGCAGAAGGTCTAGGTTCAAGTCCCACCTCTTCCTGACATGTGACATAATATATCAAAATAAATTGATCAAAGTAACTACATGATGACTTGTACAGTGGCTCGGTAAAAACTGTTAAACTGAATCATCACTTTTCATACTACGCTGAACATAAGGGCAGACACACCTACATAGAAGTTATCAATGCATCTGCAGCACAGGACAGTGGAGGAGGGTGGTTAATGATTATCATGTAAGACTTCTGTAAACGTGCAAAGCTTTCTTTTTTCTCTCAGTGGACATGGGCATCGCTGGCTAGGCCAGCTTTTGTTACCCATCCGAAAGTGGACTCGAAAAGCTGGTGGTAAGCAGCCTTCCTGAAATACTGCTGTCCATATAGTGCTGCTAGGAAGGGCATTCCAGGATTTTGACCCAATGACAATGAAATAACAGCAATATTATTCCAAGCTAAGGTGTATGGCTTGGAGGAACGATTACATGGGTGAATTCCCAAGCATTTGTTGCCCTTGTCCCCTCCCATTCGCCTGAACTCCAATGTAAACAACCCTAATCTAGTTAATCCGCCCTCATACATCAGTCCCACCATCTCTGGAATCAGCCTGGTAAACCTTTGCTGCACTCCTTCGAGAGCAAGAGCATCCTTCCTCAGAAAAGGAGACCAAAACTGCACACAATAATCTAGGTGTGGCCTCATCAAGGTCCTGTATAACTGCAACAACACACATCCCTACTCCTGTGCTCGAAGTCTTTCGCAATGAAGGCTAACATACTATTTGCTTTCTTTACCACCTGCTGCACCTGCATGCTTATCTTCAGCAACTGGTGCACAAGGATACCCAGGTCCCGCTGTACACTCCCCTCTCCCAATTTACAGCCTTTCAGGTAGTAACCTGCGTCTTGTTTTTGCTTCCAAAGTAAATAACCTCACATTTATCCAAATTATACTGCATCTGCCATTGATTTGCCTACTCACCCAACCTGTTCAGATCATGCTGAAGGATCTCTGCATCCTCATCACAGTTCAGCCTCCCACCGAACTTGGTATCATCTGCAAACTTGGAGATGTTACATTTTGTTCCCTCATCCAAATCATTAATATATATTGTGAATAGCTGGGCCCCAGCACCGATCCCTATGGCATCCCACTAGTTACTGCCTGCCAATTTGAAAAGGGCCCAGTAATTCCTACTCTTTGTTTCCTCTCTGCCAACCAGTTTTCTATCCATCTTAATACACTTCTCCCAATTACATGCGCTTTGATCTTGCACAATAATCTCTTACGTGGGACTTTGTCATATGGTTTCTGAAAGTCCAAATATACCACATCAACTGGCTTCCCCTTGTCAACTCTACTAATTATATCTTCATAGAATTCTAACAGATTTGTCAAGCATGATTTCCCCTTCATAAATCCATGCTGATTCTGACTGATCCTGCCACTGCTTTCTAAATGCTCCGCTATAAAGTCCTTGATAATGGATTCGAGAATTTTGCCCATTACCGATGTAAGGCTTACTGGTCTATAATTCCTTGTTTTCTCTCTACCTCCCTTTTTGAACACTGGAGTGATATTACCTCCCTTCCAATCTGCAGGGACTGTTCCAGAGTCTATAGAATCCCGGAAAGTCACCACCAATGCATCCGCTATTTCTAGAGCCACTTCCTTAAGTACCATGGGATGTAGATTATCAGGCCCTGGGGATTTATCCACCTTCAATACCATCAATTTTCCCAGCACCATTTCTCTACTCATATTGATCTCCCTCAATTCTTCTCTCTCATTAAATCTTGCATCCTCCAACATTTCTGGTATCTGATTTGTGTTCTCTTTTATGAAGACTGAATCAAAGTACGTATTCAGTTGCTCAGCCATTTCTTTGTCCTCTTTTATACATTCCCCCATTTCTACGGGTAGGGGACCTACATTTGTCTTCGCTAATCTCTTTCTCTTCACGTTCCTATAGAAACTATTAACTTTCGTACTGTATTTTCCTCTTCTTAATCAACCCCTCGGTCCTTCTTTGCTGACTTCTAAACTGCTCCCAATCCTCAGACATATTATTTTTCTTGGCCAATCCAAATGCTTCTTCCTTGAATCAGATACTATCTCTAATTTCCTTTGTAAGCCATGGATTTCCCCTCTTACCCATTTTGCTTTTGTGCCAGACAGATATAAACAGTTGCTGCAGTTCCCTCATGCATTCCTTGAATGTTTGCCATCGCCTATCCACTGTCATCCCTTTAGGTAACTCTCTCCAACCTATCAAGTCCAACTCACACCTCATGTCTTCATAGTTTCCTTTATTAAGATTCAGCACCCTAGTCTCCGTATCAACTGCCTCTCTCTCCATCTTGATAAAAGTTCTATCATGTTATCGTCGCTCATCTCCAAGGGGTCTCGCAAAGCTAGATTGGCAATGATTCCCTTCTCATTACACAGTATCCTGTCTAACATGGCCTGCTCTCTAGTTGGTTCCTCCACGTATTGGTGAAGAAAACCATCCCATATACACTCCAGGAATTCCTCCTCTAAGGCATTGTGGCTAATTTGATTTTCCCAATCTATGTGCAGATTAAAACCACCCATGATCATCGATATTCCCTTATCATATGCATCTCTAATTTCCTGTTTAATGCCAATCCTAACATCACCACTGCAGTTTGGGGTCCTATACATGTTTTTTGCCCCTTAGTATTTCTCAACTCTACCTATACTGACTCCACATTGTCAGAGCTAATATCCTTTCTCACTATTGTGTTAATTTCCTCTTTAATCAGCAATGCCACTCCGCCACCTTTTCCTTTTTGCTTGTCCTTCCTAAATATTGAATACCCTGGGAAATTCTGCGTCCATCCCTGGTCACCCTGCAGCCATGTCTCCATAATTCCAATTATATCATAGTCGTTTACAGTTACCTGCGCAATTAGTTGATCCACTTTATTGTAAATGCTTTGCGCATTACAGCACAAAGCCTTTAAGCTTGTCTTTTTAACACTGTTTGTCTCGCTCTTGTTTTTCTCTGTTTGAATTTTGTCCATGGTTTCTTTGCCTATCATTTTTCTTATTCCCTTTTCTACCTTTTGTTTTTGTCCTAGCCCTCTCCTTCTCTGACTCTTTACACAGGTTCTCATTCCTGGCATATTAGTTTAAACCCTCCCTAACCACTCTAGCAAGCACTCCCCCGAAGACATCAGTCCCAGTCCTGGCCAAGTGTAACCTGTCCAATTTGTACAGGCCCCATCTCCCCCAGAACTGGTCCCAATGCCCCAGGAATCTGAAACTCTCCCCTAACACCATCTTTTCAGCCTGTCATTTCTGCTCTGACTAGCACGTGTATTTGTTTCATCACAGAATGTCCTGCCTTTGACTGACTCTTGGAGACATAGTATTTACACAGCTAGTCCAGTTCAGTTTCTGGTCAATGGTAACTCACAAGATATTTATGGTGGGGATTAGGTGATGGTAATGTCAAGGGAAGATAGTCAGATTCTTTCTTGTTTGAGATACTCATTGCCTGAAATTTGTCTTGCACCTATGTTACACTTTGTACTTATCAGCCCAAGAACTGAATGTTGTCCAAATGCAACAAGACCTGAACAGAGTGTTTGAATAGCTGAGGAGGTTCGAATGTTGCTGAACGTTGTGAATTCAATAGCAGATGTCCCGCCTAAGGACCTTATCATGGATGGAAGTTCACTGGTGAAATCTAGAACCCTAGAACCCTACCCAGAGGAACTCCTGCAGTGAAGACCTGAGACTGCATTGATGTACTCATATGTATCATGCAAAAAAGCACTACATTAATCTACTTATATAGGTCACTATAGAAGAAAGTAAGCAAAATTGCCAGTGATGTTACTAACTCTGTTTAAATTATTGATTTATGATTGCTCTTGCTTTCAGTGCACTAGAATCTAAATCTAAAATTAAAAGTGGCATAAAGTGGTGAGTAAATACAGCTGTTCCTGGACAAAATAAGTAAAGTGCTTAATATAAGAAAATCAATAACTTTAAAATTTATTTTAATGAAAATAATTAATTGTTCTTATCACTGGTATAAGCAAGTATCTATTTAAATATTAATGCAATGGGTCAGTATTTACTTTGCAATTTAAAAGCATCCTTCACTTAGTCATGAAGCTGACAAGTGTTATTTCTCAAAACCGAAACTGAACCCATACACAGGATTATACTCACGTAGCTGGTAGTGACCAGATCACTTGTGAGCTTGTTAACATCCAACATGCACAGACTCATAATAGACACAACAACTGGATGAGACTCATTTCAGGCAATGTGCAAAAGGCAATGGTTAGCAAATGTTTAAAGCAGGCAGCCCTGATATCATGTTCACAACAAGTTACTCACACGCCTCATTTCTGTTAGTTGCGAAATATCAGGCCCAACAGGAGTCATGTAGCCTGAGAGGCTCTATAGAAAGAAAGGAATAAAGTAGGTCCACAGACACATGCAAAGGATTGTTATTGTAAAAACATCAAGAGTTTTGGCATTGGGCTCACGTTGAGAAAAAAAGAGATCTTAACTTGGTCAAATTCAGCATGATCAAGTGGACAATAAAATATCAAACTTGGGTAAAATATAAAAACCCTGTGCAAAATGATCATCATATAGAAGCAATTGAGACTGCTTGTGATTTCTTGAATTTATGCAATTTACATCAGTAATCTACTGACACAGAAATTTTCTGAGCTAAATCAAACACAGTGAAATCTGTAAATTAATGACACTCTGGGGACTGACCTAAGCTGTCCTTATTTTCAAAATGGTCGCTGAATACATTGTAATCATTTACAAGAGTGGGAAGTTCTTGATCAAGCACCATCACAATAGAGAAGCTTTCCTCTCCTTGAGGATAGTGTTATGAAAACATTTAGTGTCGGGGTGAAAGAAGGAAGCAAAGTGAAAGGGTGAGGACAGTGGTCTGAAGAATTTTCTGACTGTCTGAGGACATTTTCTGAAGAAGGGTCTAGACCAGAAACATCAGCTTTCCTGCTCGGCCTGCTGTGTTCATCCAACTCTACACCTTGTTATCTCAGATTCTCCAGCATCGGCAGTTTCTACTATCTCAGGACAGTGGTCTTGACTTGCTGAGAGTTTCCAAGGCTAACTTTCCAACAGACTGCGCCCTGTGCTTTAAGTTTAAAATATTGCGCAGGCATCAACCAATGATTCCGATGAAGTTTGGGACTAGAAATGTCAGGACGCTCATGAACAACCTCAACATCACCATCACAGCTTGGGAATTCTGGTGCCTTGAATACAACATTGCCATTCTAAGTGAGACGTGACATCAAGGAGGGGGCCAACTAAAGTAGCAGGGCAACAGGTTCACCTTGTTCTGAAAGGGTCTTCCAGAGGAACTGCTTTCACAGCGTGGGTTTGCATCAAAATATTAATTTTTTGGCACCCCAGCAACTCACATTGTGTGCTAAGCAGACACTTCGTGACTGCACAGTTCAACAAATCGAGGAGCTCAGCACGCATGTTCCAACACTTAAGGCAACAGATGAGGCCAAGGAGGGATTTCACACTGACCACGCCTAATCCCCAAGCAGGAGACAAACAAGTCCATAAGTAAATGGAAAAACGTTGGCAGATGGGGTGTAATGTGGGCAAATGTGAGCTTATCCACTTTGACCAGACGAAATGAAAAGTAGTATACTATTAAAACAGTGAAAGACTGTAGAATACAGTGTCCAAGAAGGATTTGGGAATCCTGATGTATGAATAAGTGTTAGTAGGCAGATACAGCAAGTGACTACAAGACAAACGAAATTCTGCAAATTATTTCAAGGGAAATGTAATATAAATGTAGATATAGTTTCACTGCAACTGTATAGAGCATTGATGGGGCTACATTTGGAGAATGAGGTTTCGGTCTCCTGATTAGAAAAATGATAAAATTGCTTTAAAAGTAGTTCAAGTAAGTTCAATTCCTGGGATGAAAGAGTTCTTTTTCAAGGAGACAAGTTTAATAGATTAGATCTACTCCCTTTAGAGTTTAGATGAACAAGAGACAACCGCATTGAAGTATTAAAGGTCTCAAGAGGACTGCACAGGATAGACAGGCAGAAGATGCTTCTTGTGATGGAGACTAAAACGTAGGGACACAGTTTAAGAAATGGCCTCCCTTTTAAGGCAGAGATTAGGAGATTTTGTTTTGTCTCAACGGATTGTTAGAACGTGAAATTCTCTGCCCCGGAAGTGCAGGCTTTAAATATATTTGAGGCTGAATTAGATTTTTGATAGATAGTCAAGGGCTATGGAGTGCAGCCAGAAAAATGGAGTTGAAACCACAACCCCCAGAAAAGCCACAATTCTACAGAATACAGGAAGGCGGTCAAAGGGCCAAAGGGCCAAAGGGCCAACTCCCATGCCTAAATCCTATGATCCATTGATTAAGATCAACAGCAAAACCCTGAAAAGTGTAGAGAGAAGGCAGACACAGACAACAAAATTCTTCATGGCTGAGCTGGCATGTTAGAAGCTAACTGTTGAAAAACGTTTTTGAAGACTAGGAATTCTACGCTGACACTAAGGTCATTGTTTATGGAGCAGAAGTACCAATGTTCCCATATGCTTTGGAGACTTGGATAACCCACAGCGGCAACTCCAAGCGCAGAATGCAAGTGCAGCGGTGCTTTTGTGAAATCCTTAAAATCTGGTGGACATATGGTAGTTCAATAAAAGCATCTTCTCGTAAGCCAACTTGTCTGGTATTTTGGCGATAATGACTCTAAATCAGATCCACTGGGCACGATATGTCATTTATATGCCTGACAGTGAATCCAGCAAGCAATTACTCAACTGAAAACTCAACTGCAGCAATAGATTCCCAGTGGAAAAGGGGAAATATTTTAGGAATTTGCATAAAGCATCCTGAAGAGATCAAACAACTCTGCCAACTCCTTGGTTTGTGGCTGACCAACATGGAGAAGAGTCAATCGGGAAGGCAACAGATACATCAAGATACTTCATGGAGAACACTGTAATGACTCAACTTCACCTCAAAGTAAGCACAAACATCACCTGCCCTGCATGTGGTAGATATGCACAGCATGCATGAGACTTAACACATCATAGAACACATCAAAACCAAGTAGAAGCAAAACATCCTCAATCCCGATGGATTAACTAAGAAAAAGAAAAAGATAACTAAGCTTGCAGGTGCTTTTAACACTTGGTAATATCACACAAAATGCAGCAAACAGTAACAAACTTCAGAAAGCGGCGAAATCGGAAGGCACACAACAGATGAAATGTTAAGAAGGGTCTGTTAAGTGACAGTTTTTGTCAGTAAAAATGGGAATAGGTTGTTTGGGATACATGGTATAACTTTAACAGGGATAAGTAACAAAGAAATCCGGGGCTCTATGTATAAAGTCTTTGAAAGTGGTAGGAGAAGCTAAGAAGGCTCTTAATAAAGGGATTAATAAAGAACAAGATCCTTAACTTTATCAACAGAGGAATAGTGTACACAAGAAAGGAAGTCAGGATAAAATGGTGCTTCATTACATCCTGAAACTAAAAGGGCAAAAGGTATACTTCAAATATTGTCTTCCACAGTTCAAGTGAATATTGAGCCTGCAAACAGCATGTCACTGAAAGCCTAGTGGTGACATTTAGTGGCATACTATTAATCAATTGTGTTTCAGCCTCTGGTTTTGATACTTCATGCTGGGTTAGTGTCTCACTCTACAATCTACACAGAAGATGGGGCAGTCAGTGTAATAAATGCCACATAGATAAACAAGCCTAGTTTTCTTTCCACCAATTTTCTTACCCTATGCCCCACTCTCCTGATATTTTGGTCAGCAGAGTTCCACAGCTGCTGGCCATATACTACGGTGACCAACCCATGTGGTGAAATGTACCAGATCAGACTGGTCTAAAGCTAAGTGAAACTCATAATTCTAGTAGAGTTGGAGTTGTGTCAGGTACTTACTGATACTGGCGTAGTCCGCTCTGATGGTGGTATCATTTCAGGAGTAAGCATCTGTGGAGGGTCAATTCCTTTGCTGACCTTCTGCTGAATCAGATACATTGCTAAAGCAAACTGTTCCCTGTTCAGTTTCCCTATCTGTTTTGTGTCGGCCAGTGCCCTGTTGGGAAATAGTTTACTAAGTAAAATGAAGGCTCAGTACTGCAACTGCAGCAAAACCATCTCAACTGCTATGCTTAATATCATAACAAACTATTAAAGGAAGATACATGTCAACACATCAGCAGTGTGTAAATTGATGGAGAGATAAATGACCCAGTCACAGTCTGCAGTAAGGAATGGAGGCAGGGTAGAGAAATCATCTGAAAGTGACTCCTGGCTCAGCTGCACGGCTATGAATTAGTATCTCCTCACAAAAGCAGGTAAAAGAATTAGAGACTTGTTGTTGAGTTGCTGACAACAACCACCTGTCAGCTGAAGGATCACTGCAAGCCTCGGAACGGGAAGTCTATTAAAAAAAAACTCAATGGGCACTGAGGATCAAACTAACTTATGGCTGTGTGAAAAACCACTCGTACACAATAAAACCCAATACAATGCAGTACTACAGTACATTTCTATTCAGTGGATTTTTTTTTAAACAAAGTATTAGATCAACTTTCTTAGGAGACCATTTTCAGCTTATTAATTTGCTTTTGACTAAGTGCAGACTGTTCCCTTGATAACATTTGACATGCAGATGCTGACACTGCATCAGTACAGTCAATGCATGCAACTTCATTAAATCAACATTTTAGCTCATGGGCAAGATGATGGCAATTTTATTTCCCCATTAAACTCAGTTTATGGAGCGATCTAATTCAGCTTTTCAAGATGATTAAGTGGATAAGGTGGATACAGTGGCAAGCCCAGACAGCTCAATTGGTAGAACATTGGACTTTTAATCTGAGGATCCAGGTTCAAGTTCTTAGGGCCCTCTTGTGGCACAGTAGTAGTGTCCCTACCTCTGGACTGAGAGACCTGGGTAATTACATCTCTGAATAGGTTAGTTAGAAAAATAGGTTAATAAACAAAATATGATGGATAGAAATGATTTCCTCTAGTGTGGACAATCTAGAATGAGAGGGCATCACATTACAATTACAGTAAGGCAACTGGATGATAGTAAATGTAAATACACAAAGGTTAATGGAAATCTAGCTTGACTCACGAAAAAGTAATTGAATTAAGGGTTCCATTGAAAATATCAAAACTCACTCATTGTGAGAAGACAAGGGTATTGATTGTTAGGGAAACAAGACAGTTAGACAAAGTTAAGATATAGATCAGCCATGATCTGACTAAATGGCAGAACAGATTCAAGGAGCTGAATACCTACTCCAATTCTATCCATTAGTAAAATATTATCACTGATTGTGAAGTCAGTTACCAGAAGGCACTTTGATTGCTCGTCAGGATCCGCTTTGGTTCCGAGCAGTGTGATATGTTAGTGTCACTCACACGTTCGGTTATTCACAACTCACCACTTTCTAGCTCAGAAAATTTCAACACTCTGATGTTTGCTGCGCTTGTGGAAGGACATTGTGCTGTTGTCCCAAAAGAATGGCAGCCTCATGACATTAGCATACTGACCCACTGAATTCAGTTCAGCATATTTAGAAGTCATGGGAGCTGTAGGTCAGAGGCAGTTAAGGAAATGACTGAAATCTGCTGAAGGTAAGGTTGGATGTTTTTTCAACTTTACCCAATGCAATTATCCACACAAGACATTTAGTAGAAGATAATGCTGAAGGAATGCAGGAGAATCTTCAGTTTCAGTTGATAATGGCTATTTATCACAGATGAACAAAGATGACTCAAATACTGATTGTGACTTTCACACTAGAAATAAGCTAGAGCACTCAGTCTGTAAATTCTAGAGCTCTTACCAGATATGAGCCAGGATGTTCTGATGAAGTGCCGACTGCATGAAGATATCTTTGACTTCCAAGCCACTGACATACCCATCCATATCCAAATCTATTTTGAGGAAGATGTCATCGTACCGCATTTTGTCATTTGATGGCACAACCCAATTAACTGGCTGCAAGAAAAAAGATTTTTTCCAGGTCATTGCAATCGAAAGTTAAGAGGTAAAGCATGGAGGATCACAAATCATCAGAGCACAGAGAATAACGGTTACCTGATCCATTCCTCAACTAAATGTAGTGTGAAACAACTAAGAGGATAACTTACTGCAACATCTGATCAGTTTCTGTGGTTTAAATGAAAGCGGTAACAGCCATGAGCACAATGGATAAAAGCTAGTCAAATGTACACATATAGGAGTAATCCAGTTCAAGACCATGTGGGTTTAAAACCTGTACTAGTAGTTTTTTGTAACACTTGTGTAAAGCACTAATTGTAGACTTATAGAACAATGTTGTGTGCACAGTGTGGTCCTGGTAACTGCTTCCACAGAAATTAAGGATCATTACCTAGGGTTGCTTCTCAAACCAAAAGCTCAGTGAAAAAGATCAATCCCCAGCTTACAAAGAAGGTTAAGGATAGCACTAGAATAAAAGTACAGACTCACAATGTTGCAAAGCACTGTAGTAAGTCTGAGGTTTGAAAGTGGTGTAGATTGCAGCAAAGGACCACCAAAAATTGATAAAGTGGGGGAAAAAAACAATGCAAAAGTAACCCAGCCAGGGGTATAAAAACAAATTTTAAAAGCTTTTACAATTATATAAATGGGAGAATAACTGAAGTATACGTTACTCCCTCAGATGCAGAGATAAGTTGAAATAATCATGAGGAAATCACCGAGACATTGAAGAAATAGTTTACAGTAATCTAGCCTACACATATTCTCTTGCTAAGGACTGAGCCATTGCAATGCAAGCTATTTTAAGAGTATGCAGGTGAAATTCTTGTCTCATCACCTGTTTAATGTGTTTTGGAGAGATGCTGCCTGCACTATTTAGGCTGTTAATACTGCCATGTGAAGGAGTAGATCGCAGGCTATCTTTAGGTGGAGGGCTGGCAGGTAGCACAGGTACAGCACCAGCAAGTGTTGGTCCTTGTTTCTTTCTCTTGGACGGTGGCAGAAGTGAAGATGGCAAAACAGATGGAACTGGCTCTTTTTCCAAGGCTCTGTAAACAAGATGCATTGCCTGCAAATAGAACAGTAAAGGGTTAATCACAGTCTGTGTCAATATTTCAGCAGCAGAAAGAATTCTGCAAGTTCCCAGGATATGGAAGGTGCATAAAAATAATGTCTGTTTGTTAATCTCTGCCTGTGCAAAAGAACTTTCTCTCCAATTATTTCAGATATGCCAGGTATTGGGCAAAGATCTTGCTCTGGAAGGACCATGTAACAGTTAGCGTGCAAAGGTGATCCCATAGTAAATAATCATACTTTCAAGCATCATCGATTTCCCAAATGATGTTTTGGACCTGGAACACGAGGACCATCATGGATAGCCCCAACAGTGACAAACATGAACATCACACTGCAATTATCACTCCAGAACTTCAGCATTATGACTTTGATATTTTTGCTCCGAGTGAAACACAATAAGCAAAAAACGTCCAACTCAAAGAACTAAGGTGTAGAAGTGTCTTGTTTTGAAACATTAAGAAATCTCAATTCAGCCTTTTTCTACCCAAAAACAGCGGTGTCAATGGAAGGGCTGTTGAAGAAAACCTAATATTGCTCGACTCCAGGTTCCTACAAAGTATGATCGACTGAAACAGTGAATCACTGTCAACTTGGTAACAATCAATGAACAGGAGCCACAGGACACCTACAGCGCTTGGTCTGCTGTTAAATCCATCATAAACTGTTAAATCCATCATGAGTAGATGCATGCAAAACCAGCATTAAACTATTTAGTCATTTCAATGCCCACAACACAGGGTGACAGAAAGTCATCTTTGAACCTGGGGAACTACCCAAGAAGAAACAGTCCAACATTTGATTTTCACACCCTGTCACAGATAGAAGAGGTGGACTTGTTACTAGACCAGAGCTAGCACAGGTTGAACAATTGCCTACTCATCCTGTAGAGAATCTCCACTCCGGTGGGAAGCTTCATGGATATGGGTTGAAGAACACTAATTGCAATTCCAATACCTCGCCTGACCCTAATATGCAAATATATTGGATCTGTGTTGGAGAAGTTGGTGAGGGTCATGGCATGTAGAGGATAGTGACAGATTTCTGGGATCATCCAAATGTGAGGAGAATGCTCCATAATCCTCCCCAGTGGAAAGCCTTTGGGGGGTTGAAAGAGGTCATGTCTAGAGATGCACTACCGCTCTCTGCATTTTTTTTTCCGACTTACCTTGCTGTTAAGATCATGTCCACTGTGCCTCTTGATGGATAGAATCCGCATGGAGATTCTGGTAGAAGCATTTATCTACTGAGGGGAAGCAACTGAAGAGAATCTTTATAATGACTTTCCCTGTGGGAAGCCAATCTGTAATTATCACAATAGGCCTTATTTCCATTTTGAAATTTATCATAATTAGCGACGTCAATAGCCGAGTGTTACTATTGCTGGACTGTTAATCCAGAGGTCCAGCCACAGCAGATGGTGGAATTTGAATTCAATAAAAACTCTGAAATTAACAGTCTAATGATGACCACGAATCCACTACTGATTATTGTGAAAAAGCCACTTGGTTCACTAATCTCCTTTCTTGGTCAAGTCTACATGTGACTCCAGACCCACAGCAATGTGGTTGGCTCTAAACTGCCCTCTGGGCAATTAGGGATGGGTAATAAATGCTGGCTTAGCCGGTAATGCTCTCATCCCATGCATTAATTAAAACAAAAATTCTGGCATCTCTGAGATTTGCTGGCTTGCTGTCCTTCTTCCAGATGAGAAAGATAAGTTCATGTATTTCTGCCAAGAGAATTTCTCCACTTTATTTTAGTGGGGACTCTGTCTGGCCTGTATTATGATGAGGAACACCCAGGAAGGGTCATGGTTAGAAGCAGGGATGAGATCAGAGGAAAGGAAAAGGGGAGAGAGGTCTGGAGAGGTCATTACATCAATGCACTGCAGAACACAGAGGCAAACTCTTGTTTCCTTCTCTTCGGCAACAATTTCAGTTGGAGTGTACTGTTTACATGTGATCTGGCAGTAGACTATTTTATTGCCAAAGAATATGAGCTGATGTGGCAAGACAGAATCTTTATTTAGGCCCTGCTCAATACTGGATTCTGGAAACCAAAGATGGGCAGGAGTTCAATTTCCCAAATGTAACATGCCTCATCTTCAAGCAAATAATATCTGATTAACAAAAACCGTCATCGCTGATTTCTGTGATCATTACAGATAACTATTACAGATTAGAGACTGTTTTGAATAATTTAACTTAGTGAGATGAATGCCGAGTGAATTACTGACTATACTGCTGGAAATTTGGTTCAAAATGGAAATTGGTACAAAGGTGAACGCAGGTATTTTAATTAAGATTTACTTCAATTAGTAAGCTCTATAGAGTGAGAGGTAAATGGGGAGAGGATAAAAGACATGGATTGAAAGGCCAACCAACAGCACAGTGACATCATAAACCAGAGTGTGACACAAGTGCAGGGAAAGAAGGTGACTGCTGAGTAGGATTGGTGAATATTTCTTGTTTTTAAAGTAAAATTAAGGACTTCAGTTTGTGTTTAGATCTTCAATGTTTCCCTTCTCTCTTGTGATGCAAGTGACTTTTTTATTGTTAAAAATGAAACATAATTATAGTGAAGTGACCAACAGGGAATGTCAACTAATTAATTTATAAGTTAAATGAAAGACAACAGTGATTGTAGAATGGGTGATGTGTTGCTCCTGCAACATGTGGAAGCTGCTGATACCAATGTGATCCAGATCCAATGCAAACACATCTGCAATAAGTATTTACAGCTCAAGGTACTTCAAAGTCCAGGAGCTACAGTCTGAGTTGCAGACATTGTGCCACATCCAGGAAGGGGAAGGTAACCAGGACACTTTGTTCCAGTGGGCAGTCACACTCCTCAGACGAGGTAATTCAAAATTGGTCTGTGATCAGGAACAGGCAAAGTGACTGCAGGTGGGGCAGGTTTGAAATTAAGGAGCACTGGCGCCTGCAACTGTCCAACAATTATACTATTCTTGCAGGCTGGTAGGATGAGCGTAGGGTCTGCAGGAGGATGACCAAATTGACCACAGCACCTTGGTACAAGGAGCCATTCAAGTGGGGAAAGGAAATAAGAATGTAGTTGTGACTGGGGACGGTTCAAATTAGAGGAATAGATACTATTCTCTGCAGCTTTGAGCAGGAATTCCGAAGGTTGTGCTGCCTTAAGGAGATCTGTTGGATTAAAGATATCTCCTAGGGGCTGGAGAAGGACTTGGAGACAGCCAGTTGTCATCATCCATGTTAGTACCAACAATATTGGTAGAACTAGAAAGGAGATTTTGTTGAAAGATTTCAAACAGTTAAGCACTAATTTAAAAAACAGAACTTCCAAGGTAGTAATCTCTGAGCCAGGACAAACTGATGAAGGGTAAATAAAGTAAAAAAGTTAAATGCATGATTCAAAGATTGAACTGGGACAATGGGTTTCAGTTTGTGATCACTGACACCAGTACTGAGGTAGAAGAGTTTTCTGGTGGCATGGGCGTCTCTTAACAAAACTGGGGCAGTATCCTGGCAAATTGAATAACTATGGCTGTAGAGAGGGGTTCAAGCTAATTAGTTTGAGTTGGGAGAGGGAATATGTAGGCTTACAAAGCAAGAGGATACAGTGATGTTACAGGGCAGTTATTTGAATAACAACCAGAGTGAGAAAGGAAAGGTCAGAGTGTACAAATATAGAAGATCAGCAGTAAATAGGATCAAAAGAGGAAATAATGATAAAAAGGCAAACTAATGGCTCCTTACTTGAATGTACATAGCATTCGGAACAAAATAAACGAATTAGGAGCACAAATACAAGTTAACAGGGTTAACCGGTGTAACGATTACAGAGACCTGGCTAAAAAGAGAGCAAAGCTAGGAATTAAATATTCAGGGGAGTGTGACTTATCACAAAAACAAACAAGAAGAAAAGAGTGGTGGGGTAGCATTGTTGGTATGGGATGGACTAACTAGGATAGCAAGAAATAATCTTGGATCGGAAGACGTAGAATCCATGTGGGTGGAGGTAACAAATAAAAAGGGAAAGAAGATACTGGTAGCAGTAGTCTATAGGCTCCCTAACAGTGGCTATACAGTGGGACAGAGAATAAATCAGGAGATAATGAAGGTAACAAAAACAGTAATTTAATCAAGGTGGTCTTAATAGTCATGTAGCTCAGGATAGTCAGATTGAAATTTCTTCTCTCAAAGCGTAGTGGATCTGTGGAATTCTTACCACAGAGGGTTTTCGAGGCTAGGTCATTAAATACATTCAAGGCTCAGATAGGGAAATTTCTAATCAGTAAGGGAATCAAGGGTTATGGGGACAAGGCAGGAAAATGGAGACTCGATGGGCTGAATGATCTACTTCTGCTCCAACATCTTATGGTCACTGAACTAATTATTTTCTATTTCAACTTTTTTTCTTCCTTAGTCCACCACTTTTCAGTCCACAAGCATGACCCCAAGCTTCCAGTCACCTGTCATTTTCATTCTGCACCTTGCTCTCGTGCAGACTGTCTGACCTTGGCCTCCTTTAGTGTTCCAATCAAGATCAAGGAACAACATCTCATTTTTCCATTAGGCACCTTATAGTTTCTGGACTCAGGAGTAAGTTCAACAATTTCAGGCCACAAGCAATCTTCCATTTTCTTTCCTTTCCTTTGCAGGTTTTGATTTAGTTTTAGTGTATTTTCCTCTTGTTTCTGCTTTAGGATGGCATCTGTTCATCATTCTGGCATTTACACCTTATCTAGGCACATATTTTGTTTCTTTTCTCATAACATCGCCATTCTCTTTGGCTTTGTAACACAAACTCTTATCATTTAATTTCTCCTGTTTTTCACACTATCATAGGCCTTCCTTTGTGGCCCTTTTTCAACCTACCCTCACTTTGACTTGATTAAAAATTATACCATTTCTAGCTTTCATTGGTTCTGGTGAAAGACCATTGTAACAGTATTTCTCTCCCACTGATACTGCCTGACCTGCTGAGTATTTTCAGCATTTCCTGTTTTTATTTTCAATTCCCAGCATCAACAGTATTTTATTTTCATTAGGCAACTAAATTGGGCTTGTGAGTAAACCCATATCCCATAATGGATAAATTTCCACTGTCTCAAGATCAAGGAACTCGGGTCTGAACACTGATGCTTAAACCGGTTATCTATCTCCAGGTGCGTCTGGAACACCTAAAGCATAATCCTACCCCATTCTTTATCACTAAAGGTCATTTAATGGCTCAGAAGTAACTTCTGAACTTTTCTCTCTACCACAATCACTTTCTTCAACTCCCCTCCCTTGCAGATTGCAAAAGGTTAGCACACAGTTTAGTAGCTTTATAAGTTGTGAAGCAGCAAACGACGAATGATCACACAGTTTACTGGTGATTCTTATCTTCTCTGAGAAATTGTGAAAAATGCAGAAGGGAGGGGAAGACAGAGGCAGTGAAGGAAGGAGGGAGTGAAGCTGGGCGGGAGCGAGTGAGTACACAGCAGAGTGAGAGAGAGTGAGAGAAAGAGAGGGAGGGAGGGAGGGAGAGAGGGGGAGAGAGAGAGACAGACAGACTGAGCAAGAAAGAGAGCGTAAGCAAAAGAGAACAAGTGCATGACTACCTAAATGGAGAAAAGCACATCATAAAATGCAGTGAGTGTGTTTGTTTAAGCAAATTTTAATATCAGATTGTTTATTTGCAGCAACTCCCAAAAATCAGGTTCTTAACTTCAGATCAATATTTTAAAGCCCCAGTTTGATCCTAGATATTCTGCGTTCACCATGCAACCAAAGGTAGTACAAAACTTACCACAGCAAACTCATCTCTGTCCAGGTGGCCATCCTTATCAACATCACTCAGATCCCAAACCTAATGGGAATAAAAATTGAAAACAAGAAATTAACTGCCTCAGCTAGGAGGGCAGAGGTAAAATACATCAGAGTCACAACGGATTCACACAACCAAAATACCAACTGCATTCAACTTTGATAAAGGTGCTCAATCAAGCTTGGGCATTTCTAAACTCCACTCCTTATCTAGTATTAAATTCAGTCACAGGCACCAGTTCAAAACTGTACAGAACTGTAGCTTAACAATGACACCCATGCATTTTGGAAGTCTGAGTCAATACAGTATGGAGCAGGAGGAACACAGCAGGACAGGCAGCATCAGAGGAGCAGGAAAGTCGACATTTCGGGCAGGACCCTTCATCACGGCTTCCATTTTGGAAGTCTGTTGTTTGGTTGTGCACACTAAATAGGCAAACAAAACATAATACAAAAATATTAAACTTATACAGCATTAACATAACTAGCCAACGTTACAAATACCTTCAGGAAGTTCCCCTTTTTTCACTCTGACTCTTCATTTTGGCAAGTTGCAGTACACAATGGAAGCTGAATAACAGGGCTCAGATCCCAAATTAGCTTCAGATTATTCTCAAGTAAAACAGCTAACTGAACGGGTAAGTTTATTGCTTTTCTCATGTATTATTCGATTTGTTTATATATTAATATGAATGATAATGGTCACTCAAAGAAGGCTTTGTGAAGAAGCAGGATGGCTGTTCAAAGCACAAGAACATTTTATGGTACAGATTATTTGGTTTCTCATAATGGTTGGTTCCAAATTGAAGGTGATGCTTTTGCATTTATCCACTTACACAATTGGGTATTTCAGCAAACCACAACAGTTAATTCAAAAATCACACTAATCAGAACTGAGACAGTACACATGAACTTTAAATTTATCACCTACCAATAGTTATTAGTTTAGACATATTTGTAGCGTTACCTTTTCAATCTGCTGCTCTTCTTAGGATGATTTATAGAACTGCAATTTAACATCAGAATGTGTTGTGGACAGATTGAGATATATTTGTGGGCTGAGCGTGGACACTATTAACTCACACTGTAGAGGTACAACATATATTGCAAGTATTGCCTGCAAAGAGTATTCCCATTTTCCATTCACCTGCAGAAGATTTTGTTAGGATTAAAGGACTATCCACCCTATTAAAGTTGAGAATGTCAAACGTTTTACCTTCACACTGGGATTTCAGACCCTCTTATTTTCTTTCCATCAACCAGCTTCCAAGTTCTGACTGTTTGACCAATGTTTCACTGTCATGCAGTCAAATATGTATGCATAAATCTCTTTAACTTGCTTAGGTGCAATAAAACATTTATGGTTTCCTCAATCACAGCAGTTAAAACTTTGATCGAGAATCCTGACAATGATAGTAGTTTGTAACTTAATGTTTCTCTTGTTCCAGAAAGTAATCGGATAAATGATAAGGCTCAAAAATTGACATGGATGGAGGTGGAAGCTGTTTTGCATGTCACATAAATTTGAGGAAGTTATAAATCAATTTTACGGGTACACAGTATTGAATGTTTCCAGCGAAAATTAAAGATTAATGACCAAGCGTTTGTTTCTGTTGTTTATTAGATACACAAGGTTGAGTGAATATATATCTGTTGGGTACATGTGCAATAGTGACAGGCTATGGCATGAGGAGAGGATTAAAACATTATTACAGTTTTTTTTAATGCACTCATGGAACGTGAGAGTTGCTTGCTGTCCAACATTTACTGCTCATCCCTGGCTGCCCTCGAGAAACTGGAAGTGAGCTGCTTTCTTGGAGCACTGCAGTCCATGTGGTGTAAGTAGACCCACAGTGCCCTTAAGTAAAGGAATTCCAGGATTTTGACCCAGCAACAGTGATGTGTTTCCAAGTCAAGATAGTGATTTCTTGAAGGGAAACTTGTGTTGGTCAGCATTTTGTTGAGCTCACCAATGCTTTGTCCTGGACGGTGTCAAGCTTCTTCTTTGTTATTGGTGCTGCACACATCCAGGCAAGCGGGGAGTAATCCATCACAATCCTGACTTGTCCTTGTGGATGACGGACAGGCTTTGGGGAATCAGGTGTGAGCTAATCACTACAGTATTCCCGGCCTCTGACCTGCTCTTGTAGTCACTGTGCTTATGCAATGAGTCGAGTTGAGTTTCTGGTCAATGGCAACCCCCCAGGATACTGATAGCGGGAATTCAGTGATGGTAGTACCAGTGAATGTAAAGGGCCAGTTACTAGATTTTTTCTTATTCATAGAATCATAGAATCCCTACAGTGCAGATAGAGGCCATTCAGTCCATCGAGTCTGCGACCCTCTGAACAGCACAGGGATATTTGTGCAGCCTCCTTCTCCAAAAAGTTGTTTAAATGTCCACTATCATTCACAACTGAATGTGGCAGGAATGCATAGCTTAGATCTGATCCGTTGGCTGTGGGATTGCTTAGCTCCGTCTATCACTTGCTGCTTATACTGTTTGGTGTGCAGGTAGTTCTGTTTGGTAGCTTCACCAAGTTGACACCTCATTTTTAGGTATGCCTGGTGCTCCTCCTGGCATGCCCTTCTGCACTGTCCACTGAATCAGGGTTGACCCGCTGGCATAATAGTAATGGTTGAGTGGGGATCATGCCAGGCTATGAGATTGCAGATTGTGCTGGAGCACAATTATGCTGCTAGTGGTGACGCACAGCACCTCACGGATGTTTAAAGTCTGTCCCAATCAGCAGTGTGAAACTGCCACGCAACATGATGGAGCGTGCTCTCAATGTGAAGGTGGAACATTGAAATCCTCCACCCAGAACACAGTTGTACCCTTGCCAATCTCCGTGCATCCTCCAAGAGTTGTTCAACATGCAGGAGTGCCAATTTATCAGGTAAAGGAGGACGGTATGTGGTAAGGAGGTTTCCTCTGCTATGTTTAACCTGAAGCCATGACACTTCATGCGGTCCAGAGTCAACGCTGACTACTGCCAGGGCAACTCCCTCCCAGATGTAAATCTCCTGCTGCTTACCACATACCATCCTCCCTTACCTGATAAATGTATACCACCTCTGCTGGGTCTGAACGCTGGTGGGACAGGACATATCCAAGATGACGATCGTAGTGTTTGGGGCATTGTCTATCAGGTACGATTCAGTGAGTATGACTATATCAGCTGTTGCTTGACTAGATTGTGAGACAGCTTTCCCAGTTTTGCCACTAGCCCTCAGATGTTAGTAAGGAGGATTTTGCAGGGTCGACTGGGCTGCTTCTGCTGCTGTCTTTTCCGGTACCTAAGTCAATAGCAAGCGGTCTATCTGGTTTCATTTCTTTGTTGAGGCTTAGTAACAATTGATACAACTGAGTGGCTTGCTAGGCCATTTCAGAGGGCAGCTGAGAATCAATCAACTGGAGTCACGTGTAGTCTAGACCAGGTGAGCATGGCAGATTTCCTTCCCTAAGGACATTAGTGAACCTGCACAGATTGAGAACAAGAGGAAGTGATTGTGTATTATATTCAAGCAGCAGTAACACTGAAGACTCTCAATGCAATTGTGTTTTTTTTTAAAATGGCTGCAAGTTGAAGATTTACGAAATCACAATATATGGGGAGTGGGAAAGCAGTCTGATGAAATCTTAGAAAATTAGGGATTATAAAGGTAGAGAAACTGGAACAGAGAGGAAAAAAAAAATTCAATGTCTACAAAATTAGATCCACAACTTGGAAACAAATTGAAGTTTCAGACTCAAACTTATTTCAAGCATGTTGAACATTTAAAAATCAAACAAATTGTTTTATTGAACAAAATTCAGTTATGATGAAAAAAAGTACTAAATTCTACAATCTGTTAAGGATTAGATGGACAACCTTCTACTCTGAGGAGACGTAACAGATTGGAATTTCTATTTCTCCAACGTTTATCATTTTCTGATGAATCAAAATTATTTTAGTAACTGAAATTCAACATTATTGCACAAGTACCTGTAACATTTCATTCAGAAAGATGTCAAAAACTAGTCTGAAGAGAGCACTGAATAAAGAAATGCAGAACTATTTTCATTGGTAGTGGATAAAATGCTGAACATAGAATTGGATGACAGCTATTTGATTTATACCTTGAGATAACAAGGTGTAGAGCTGGATGAACACATTTCTGAAGAAGGGTCTAGGCCCAAAACGTCAGCCTTCCTGCTCCTCTGATGCTGCTTGGCCTGCTGTGTTCATCCAGCTCTACACCTTGTTATCTCAAATTCTCCAGCATCTGCAGTTCCTACTATCTCTGATTTATACCCTATTCTGTTGCTGCATGCAGAGCAATAATGTACTGTTTTCATCAACTTGCTCTGGTTGAAATCATTGGCCTCCATCTTCAAACAAAAAATTGCATCACATGCACATATTTTTGATTTAATAATTGAAATCTTAAGATTTGGATTAAAAACAACTATGTGCTTAGACATAACATGCTTACCCTTCCCAAGACATCCAGAGGTAGGTTTGAATTTATCAACACGGGTTTGACCTTATCACCGGAGAGGAGGCCATTTAGTGGAGTCAAGCTTTCAAAAATTCCATCAAATTTGGCTTTCTCTTCAGGCTTTAGGAAGGATACAAGATGGGTTAACATTTTCTATTACCAACATGCTGAAAATGCAACGAAGCTGGTCTTGAAGACTACTTGTGCAAACATGCTCTCACTAGACTTGAAATTTCTGGTCTGCTCCACAATTACCATAATAGTTTTTTGCCTGGTCAGTCATTTATTTTATTATGTTAGGCATTTTTGAACCTCTGAACATTGTGCAATCATTGGTGAACGACCCCACTTCTGACCTTATGATGGAGGGAAGGTCTTTGATGAAGCAGCTGAAGATATTTGGGCCTAGTACACTACCCTGAGGAACTCCTGCAGAGATGTCCTGGAGCTGAGATGACTGACCTCCAACAACCTCCAACTTTCTATGTGTTAGGTATGACTCTAACCACTGAAGAGTTTACCCCCCGATACCCATTGATTCTAGTTTTGCTAGGGCTCCTTGATGCTACACTCGGTCGAATGTGGCCTTGTTTGTCAAAGACTGTCACTTCCATCCCACCTCTAGAATTCAGCTCTTTTGTCCATGTTTGGACCAAGGCTGTAATGAGGTCAGGGGCTGAGTGGCCCTGGCGGAACCTGAACTGGGTGTCACTCAGCAGTATAAGGCACAACTCAGGAATTTGATGGAATACTCCCCATTTGTCTGCCTGACTGCAGATCCAACAGCTCAAAAAACCTGACACCATCCGGGACAAAGCAGCCTTGATTTGCACCACATCCAAAAGCATTCACTTTGTCCACCAGCGATGCACAGTAGCAGCATTGTGTACCAATTATAAGATTCACTGCAAAAATACACCATGGACCCTTAAATAGCACCTCCTAAAACCATGACCACTGGCATCTAGAAGGACAAGAGTAGCGTAGTTCACCTGCAAATTCTACTCCAGCCACTCACCATCTTGACTGGGAACCAAATCACTGTTTCTTCAGTGGCACTGAGTCAAAATTTTAAACTCCCTCCCTAATACACCCACAATGCCATCTACAGCAAATAGGATGGGCAATAAATGTTAACCAGACTGTAAAAGTCTGCCTCCCATGAATGATTTTAAAAAAAAGTTACTGCTGTGTGAAAAAGGGACATGGCTTGGTCCCCCAATTCTACAAGGATTCAGATCGACTAAAGGTATCTGCAAATTTCTCCAAACAGCCAACATCAGAAGCTGGACAGATAAATATGAGGACAACACTTGGTTAAAAAAAAGCAATCCAAATTTGACTGCAGTTCTTGGAAGATTCCATTCTGGAACTTCATCGTCTTAAAATAAGCTAGCCTTCCTGGAGGATATCCTATCCATTAACCGTAATTCATTAATTTTCACAAATCTAGAATGGAATGGCATTGCATATACAAAACAGAAACAGGCGAATAGGCCCAGCTAATCACTGGTGGTGTTTTTGTTCCAAGCATGTTCTCTCTCACTCTATATACCTTAGCGTGGCCTTTAGTATGTATTCCTATTCCTTTCTTTTTTGTCTACTGATCTAGTTTGCCTTTGAAAGCATCTATTTCCCTCAAACATGCAGCAAGCTCAACATTCTAACCATGCATTCCCAACTGGACTTTTTTTGATTGCAATCTTATATTTATGGTCCTTAGTTCTGGGTTCATAGAAACATTCTGATCACATCTATCCTGTTCAACTCATTCAGAATTTAGAAGATTTTGCTCAGAACACTTTAAGGCTTTTTGGTTTGAATTTGGAAAATTCACACGATCATTCTCGGTCTTTTGACCGAAGTAGAAATTATAATTAAAACTTAAACAGAAAATGCAAGAAATACTCAATAGGTCTGGTAGCATTTGTAGATTTGTGGAAATGAAGATCTCTGATGCAAACCAAGGTGCTACCGGTTACATGTATTGGTGCACTAAGTACAGTACCATACGTTATACAACTCACTTCTAGCTCTCAAATTTATGCTGATCTTCAGTCAGCGTTGTTCTCTGTCAGGTATGCTCCATTAGGATCCCACCCCAGGTAAAGTCGATGTAAAATTTAGAATAAAACTTCCTTCAACCGCTCCATCTTTAGAAGAGCATCACAGACTGCATTATTCCAACATGGCTCCAGTAATCCTCTGTAGCTTTAATGCTAATTTAGTGACAAATCAGGTTAGCCTATTCTCACTTGAATGAAGTTGAGACCACACAAAAATAAATGTTCATATGGAATTTACAGCAGGGACTCTCATTTCATCCAAACTAAGCTGAATTCAAACAATTACCCGAGACAAAGCCTAACTCAATTTGATTGTAAGAAGTTGGTTGTCCAACTCACCCTTACAGCCCACTGCGTGTCTGAGGAGGGAGGAGGTGCTACCAGAGAGGGACTACCGCTGTCGTGCTGCCAAAAGATAAAAGGCAACCCATTAGTAACAAAGTACATAGAAGTTCTACATAGTGAAGTCTTGGAACAAGCCATATCTGCAATTATTTAACTGGTCAGGGAAACTAGCCATGAAATTGGAACTGCAAATTGTACAGTATTTGACACAACTAGTTTTAGTGAGGAAACAAAATTTATATATCTTGGACAAGTTTCCTGGGATACTACTAAATTACTTCGGACTTAGGGTTGACAACAATTCACAGTAAATGGTAATATGTAATACAATATGACTACACTCCTGGACTACACAGGTTGAATAAATACCTCAACTTTTCCTGTCACAGCAAGCAGCACTACTATGAACTACAAGTGAATCACCTTAGCCACACAGCACTACTACACACCACAACTGATCCTCCTTAACTACACAACACCAGCACAAATACCCCACAGGATAAGTATCCTCCAGGCCTGAATCTCCCAGAATACAACACTAGCAAACACCAGGAAAGAACTTCCAGAACAACAACGAATAATACACACGGCAAATGAAACTCCCACATTAAGTACATGCAAACAAACATTTACAAAACACTAACCTCAGCTAAGTATTTTGTTTAATTCTTGAGCCTACAATTACTAAGAACTTAGTGAGGCCACTAGAAGCATACTAGAGATGAGGAATTTCAATTATGTGGAGAAATTAGGGTTATTGCCCTATCATGGGAGATTAAAAAGAAATTTGATAGCAGTGTTCAAATTAATGTGCACACTGATAGAGATTACAAGGAGAAATTGTTTCCAATCGCAGAAGCATCAGTAACCAGACAATAAAGTTTAATGCAATTGACCTAAGAAGTAGAGACAACATGAGGAAAACATTTTTTACACAGTAAATTGTTGCAATTTGCTATGCATGGCTTGAGCGGATTGGAAGTAGATGCAATAAATTTCAAAAGGGAATTAGATAAATATTTGAAAGGTGAATATGTTCATAACTATGGGGAAAGAGCAGAGGTGTAGGACTAATGTGACGGCTTTCTTAAATAACAGTACAGGCATGATGGGTCACTTGACCTTCTTCGGTGTTGTTTCATTTCATTTTATAATTGATTCACACAGCTTCCCACCCAACGAACAAGGACACAACTAGTCCTCTTGAACCACACAGCACAGAAAAGGACGAAAACAAGGGAAAGAACAAATAAACTTGCATTTATTTGGCGCTTCGCAAAATAAAAGGACAAACCAAAGCACTTCATTGTCAATGTGCTACTTTTGAGTATAGTCACAGATATAATGTAGGAAATAAGGCAACTAATTTATGTGCCACAAGTAAATGGGAAAATGACCAGAAAATGTGCATTTGTGATAAAGGCAAAAATATCCAAGACAACAGAGAATTCCTGTTCTCTTCTACAGATAGAATATACCATTACCCTTTGAGTACGTGAAAAGGGAAAGGTGCTTCAGTTTAATGTCGTGACTACAGGATGGTACATCTAACAATGCAGCATTTCCTCAGTAATGCACCGGAGTGTCATGATGGCAATCATGGTTGGGTTTGAATGCTGACTTTCTCATTCACAGGCAAAGTGTTATCCCTGAGCCAAGCCTTAAAGCACCACACTGATCCCACTATACAACATATCATATCAATACACATCATATCAATCCTAAACTGGAAGACAGCTCTTGTACATTGATCTTTTGATGCAAGTAACTGTCATCCAACTGTGACAGTCACAGCCTTTTACCACTGTACCCTGTACCATTGCTGAACCTCATGGAACATGTACTGAACAGCTAATTAGTACCAATACTAGGTTTGAATAAGATTTTGATCATGACAGCAACATCAACAGATACTCAATCTTGAGCACAGGTCTTCACAACAGGCAGTTTCACTTGGCTAGATTAATAAAATGGAAGAATGTGTTTTGCAAATAGCATGCCCATTACATTTCCTGATGAGAAACAATACAAAAGAAATCATGCAAATTTACGAAGGGAGGTCAGTTGAAAATACTGCTGTGTTAAGTGAAGTTAGTAAGTGTAAATTAACAATTGAGAATTCTACTGCACACCTTTAATGACATAGCAGTCAGAATATATTGATTTACAATTTGTTTACAGGTTTAGACACTTACAAATTTGGGTGGTGGCAATGTCACATTTAGACTGCTCAGGCTAACATCATGGCCATTCTGTGCACACGCTACCAGGCGTAAAGCCACATAAAAGCCCTAAAATGTAAACAAAGGGTTAAATACGAGAGGAATTAGTGAATAATCATCATAGCAGAATCAATGACAAAGCATGATTCACATACCTGTTTATCCAGGTAGCCTTTGCCTTCAGGGTCTGCCAAGTCCCAAATCTGCAGAGACAAAGTAATGGTTACATGAGTACTGGGCTCAAAGGGAGACTGTCCCACTCCTAACAAGCTCAAGAACAGAGACAGGGATCCTCAGGCACTGTTTTCGTCGATTTTTTTTATCCCAGTAACAGACTTAAATGCACTCATCCTGTTCATGACAATAATTCATACAGTTAAACAGCCTTGAAGGCTATAAAAGTATTAAAGGTGGAAATAATCTTGACAAATTTATACTAAGGTAGAGTAATACAGTTTATACAGTAAGATCAATTTATTTGGGAGTGATATGGATCTTGGCAACATCAGCATAGCAAAATAATAAATTAGAATACGCCCAGATTAATTTTGTGCAAACAAAATCAAGCATGGTTCTGGAGCAATGCAGCATCATTTCTACAAACACCAGAACCCAAAAACTTTCAGAGGTGAACTTCCACGTATGTAGCATTTCAGAATCTCAGACTGGACTGCAACCAGACTGTAAAAATTTGTCTTTTCATCTGAGTTACACAGCAGGAATTCTGTCATGGCAGTAGCAATAGTTCAATAGCTTATCAACATGTTTAGTCAAGTCTTACAGGTGATACTAAAGGATAGATGATATCGATTGAACCATAAATAGGAATGAGTTAACACCATTAGGAGAAAGGGAGAGTGGTAGTTAATTAGAATAAAGTTGTATAAGTCTATAGATAACTACAGCTGCCTGTACAGATATCATAGAATCCCTACAGTGTGGAAACAGGCCCTTCGGCCCAACAAGTCCACACCGAACCTCAGAGCATCCCATCCAGACCCATCCCCCTATAACCCACCTAATCTACACCTTCCTGAACACTACGGGCAATTTAGCATGGCCAATCCACCTAACCTGCACGTCTTTGGACTGTGGGAGGAAACCGGAGCACCCTGAAGAAACCCACACAGACACAGGGAGTATGTGCAAACTCCACACAGACAGTCACCCGAGGCTGGATTCGAATCCGGGTCCCTGGCGCTGTGAGGCAGCAGTGCTAACCACTGAGCCACCGTGCCGCCCTCAAATATCAATTAGTATGAGAGTGACAGTCATTTTTTTCTATTCTAGATTATCTTTGGGTGCCAAAAAAAAATCCAGGATCATGAGAGTTACAGACAAGATTACACACTGGAATCGCATTAGGAAATTTGAATTTGTGTTTTTATTTTTGCTGGAAGAGGAAGAGTGAGCCAAGATGCCTCTTTCTGATATTCAAACTGAAATAATTACAGGTATCTGTGGGGATGTCTTAATCATCTAGTTTCATGATTCAGTTTAAATAGCTTTTAGTTTTCAGAATTAAGTGTGGATAATTTAAAAAGTGTCCGTAATGAAAAACTACCCTGATGCACAAATAAGGTTGGGTTAATTACAGTTACAAGTTAATCTTAGAATCCCTACAGTGTGGAAACAGGCCCTTCGGCCCAACAAGTCCACACCAACCCTCAGGGCATCCCGCCCAGACCCATCCTCCTATAACCCACCTAATCAACACATCCCTGAACACTATGGGGCAATTTAGCACGGCCAATCCATCTAGCCTGTACATCTTTGGACTGTGGGAGGAAACCGGGACACCTGGAGGAAAGCCACGCAGACATGGGGAGAACGTGCAAACTCCACACAGACAGTCGCCCGAGGGTGGAATGAAACTCGGGCCCCTGGCGCTGTGAGGCAACAGTGCTAACCACTGAGCCACCAGCCCAAAACCTATGTTTAAATTAAAAGTAGCACTGCAGAAAAAACTTAAGACAGTGGATGATCTATCTCCAAGCATGTAAAAGAACCAGAAGGTCCACCAGTGCCTCAATAAAAGATTTCAATTATGCATGTTGTTTCCAGATGAAAAGCTGAAAAACTATTAGAAAACATGGGTGCTGTTTGACAGATCTTGCAAGTCTTGATTTTTAAATAATTCATTGGACTATACAATCAAATAGCTGTTTTGAAGATACAGGAAGTCCTCACTTAAAGTTATTGCTACACTCCCATAAAGCATAAGTTTACATAAAACAACTTTAAGTGAAGCATCATTTACCAAAGGAATCAATGTTGAATCATGAAACTGGATGATTAAGGCTGATCTATAGAAATGCAACTTTCTGCAATATCCAAGTTGGGTTAATAAGTAACATAGAACATTTGCACCACACAATTGCTAAACCTGTCCATTTTATAAAAAGAGAATCTAACCATCTCCCTTTGACTTTCAATGGCATTACCTTCGGTGAAGCCCCCACTGTGTACATCCTGTGAGCTATGATTGACCAGAAACTGAATTGAACCCACCATATAAATACAGTGGCTACAACAGCAGGCAACAGGCTGGGAATTCCACAATGAGTAACTCACCTCCAGGCTCCCCAAAGTATGTCCACCATATACAAGATGCTAGTCAGGGGTCTGATGGAATGTTGTCCATTTGCCTGGATGAACACAGTTCCAACAACATCCAGACAAAGCAGCCTGCTCCTTTGGCACCCCATCCATGAGCTTCAACATTCACTCATTTCACCACTGAGGCATACAGGCAGTATTGTGGAGCTGCACTGTAGCATCTCACCGTGATTCTTGCCACAGCACCTTCTAAACCCACAACTCTAACCTGAAAGAACACTGACAGCAGATGAAGGGGAGCACCACCACCTGCAAGATGTTCTCCAAACCACAGACTATTGACTTGGAACTACATCACCATTGCTTCAGTGATAGTGGGACTGCATCTAGAGAATTTTGCAGTGTTAGTAATAGCATTTAAGAAAATGTGTATATATGTTCAAGACAGTTCTGAGCAGGCTCATACTTGGAGTTGTGAGAGTACGAGTGTGTGTGCACGAGTGCATGTGAAAGACTGTGTGCAAGACAGCATGTAAGAGTGGGCATGAGGAATGAAAATGTGCGAGTATGTGCGAAAGTGTGCAACAGAGTGAGAACGAGAGGCGTGCAACAGCGTGCCTGTGTAAGATACATGTGTGATTGATTCAGACGGTGTATGAGGAGTGTGAGTGTGTGTGAGGAGTGCAAGAGTATGAGGGTAAGCGGGTATGAGTCTGTAAGAGCATGCATGAGAGTGTGAGGGACAGTATGTGTGCATGACTGTGTGCGTGCACGAGTGCACGAGTATGCGAGACAGTGCATGAAGTATGTGTGACAGAATGAGACAGAATGTTAACACAGTGTCTCATTCTGTCACACATACTTCATGCACCTCGGTATAGGACAGCGAGCATGAGGAAGTGCACACAACTGTGCAACAGTGTGTGTGAGGAGTGAGAGAAAGCGTATGAGAGTGCACAAGTCTGAGAAAGGGAGTGAGTGAGTGTCAGAGTATGTGACAGTTGGACTGCGTGAGAGAGAGCGCGTGCGAGAGACAGAGCGTGTATGAGAGAGACAGCTCATGTGTGAGAGACAGAGAGAGAGTGTGTGTGTGTGTGTGTGTGTGTGTGTGTGTGTGTGTGAGTGTGAGCGAGTGAGTGAGAGAGAGAGAGGGGGAGAGAGAGAGAGAGGGGGAGAGAGAGAGAGAGGGAGA